CCGCACCGCTCGCGAAACGATGTACTACCAGACGGGTATACCATATATGTTCGGGTCGGACGCGCGCCTCCAAGGGGGATATATAGTATTAGTATGTCTCTGTGCGTCCCATCGCTCCTCGCCGCGCGCGGGGGAGGGGGGAGAGATCAAGCATGCCGAAGCGTCCTGGCTGGCCTATAGGCCCACCAAAGACTGTGCTAGGAACCTTTTTTTTTCTGGTCGGCGCGAACGGTTCTCAGAGCAGTTCTGGCTGGGGCTGTCTTGTTTTGTCACATCGGGATTATGTTCTGAGAGCGTTGTTCTTGTTCTTAGACCATTTTGGGGTTCAAAGAAAATCTCGAGATCGGCCTATAGGAATACCGGGACGGTCGGTCCCTGTTCAAAGAGAGTCACCGAGCGCGTTCCATTATTCGCAAAGCGTCTAACTACTCGCAAGCGTCCGCCAAACCCATATCTGCCTCGACGTAGTGGATCGTAGTCCCCGCGCGGCGGATCCAGGCCATTTGCGAGAGTAGGTAATGTCGCGAGTATTGGAAAGCGCTCGCCTACAGAGGGAGGAAGTCGTGTGGCCCCCGAAACGTCGGGGCTCCTCTGAGATCCGACGTCGCGAAAAAGTTGCAGAGCATCGCGACGAATCACGACCAGAAGCCTGGGCCCCATGGTTCTGCACGATTTTTGTTGCCGAGCCGGGCCGATCTGTGATGGTCCGGGGGCCCGAGGCCGATCGAACATTCCCGTGTGGGAAAATTGCACCGCCCGGATCTCGGGGTCTCAGCCCAGACATACGACGTCTTGAATGTTTCAGTACGGGTCCCTTGAGAGTCCAAGCTCTTTCCCCTGGGACCGGCATTGCATCCCGAGTCGTTCTTTGACGGCCCCGAGGCCCAGCGAGGGCCCCCCGGGGCCGAAACTGGCCGAACACCGTCCGTCCGTTTTTTTAAGTTGAATTTCAATTTTTAGATTAAAGAACAAAAAACAAAAAAAAAAAAAAAAACACAACAAACATGATCGACCCACGAACCCAGAAAGGAATATAGAAATGTAACGCATGGCAGCGTTTTCAAAGACACCTGATTGGGTGACGGGCAAGTGCAATGCTGATTGTATCGATCTTGATATACCGTGCCGAGGGCTGTGCTGTGCTGCACCGTGCTGAATTGCGATGTGCCATGCCGCGGTTGTGCTCTATAGCGTCGTGGATCGAGTCTTCCTTTGCATCCGAGTCCTGACCGAACTGATCTGGATCTGAAGCTCGAGCTGCCTGAACACATAGTAGCTGCCCCAGAGCTAATTGACAGGGGGACATGCCAGGAGGACGCGCCGCGAAACGTCCCAAGGGACGCGCCAGGCGACGTGCCAAGGGACGTGCCATGGGGTCGCACCGTAGGACGTGCCAAGGGGACGCGCTACGTGACATCCTCAAAATTTCCTGCGCGCGGGACGTGGCGCGCGCGAGACATCCCCGGAATTCCTGCGAGCGGGACGTGAAAACAAACATTTCGCCTGAGACATTCTCTGAATTCTGGCCCCCCACGAGGCCCTCTCTCGAGACATCCCCCAAGTTTGCAAAACCAGCGTTTCGCTCAAGACATCCTCAACTAATTATGAACAACAAGCGTTTCGCTCGAGACATCCGGTCAAAATGCTAAGACATCCTGGCAAAACGAGCGAATTAGTCGAGACATCCTCACAATTCCTGCGCGCGGGACGCGGCACGCGCGAGACATCCTTGGAATTCCTGCGAGCGGGACACGAAAACAAGCATTTCGCCTGAGACATCCTCTGAATTCTGGCCCCCCACGAAGCCTCCCCCTGCTCGAGACATCCCCAAATTTCGCAAAACCAGCGTTTCCCTCGAGACATCCTCGGCAAACTGCGTAAATTACGCTACGTCAGCGCTCCCAGGGCCACGATCCCTCGTAAGGGCTCCTGGGCCCTCCCGGGTCTTCCTTGGACCTCTTGGGCCCTCCTGGGCTCTCCTGGAGCCTCCTGGAGCTTCTCCTGGGCCCTCCTTGGGCCCCCTGGTGCCTCTTGGAGCCTCCTGGGTCCTCCTGGGCCCTCCTGGGCTCTCCTGGGCCCTCCTGGGCTCTCCTGGGGTCTCCTGGAGCCTCCTGGGCCCTCCTGGGCGAAGTCAAGGTTCGAAAACACATGGGACTTGCCACATTTCTGAAATTCGGTGCCACCCCTCACGCAGGTCGGCGGGGTCAGGATCCGAAAACACAAGGGATTTGCCACATTTCTGGAATTCCGTGCCACCCCTCTCGCAGATCGGCGGGGTCAGGATCCGAAAACACAAGGGATTTGCCACATTTCTGGAATTCCGCGCCACCCCTCACGCAGATCGGCGGGGTGAAGGTCCAAAAACACATGAGATTTGACACATTTTTGGTATTCCGTGCCACACCTTACGCAGATCGGCGGGGTCAGGGTCAACAATTAGCCTGACGAGGGACCCAACCATATGCAGGTGCGAGTACCGCAATAGTGATTCATTTTTTCGGTGGCGATCCCTATGAGGCAACGAACCGTGCTAGGGGCGTGCCGACATGAGTGGCGTGGTACACAAAGTGAACGAAAACGATTGATCTGAGTACGTAGGGAGACTGAGCGCGGGTGAATCTGCGCGCGTGCGTCTGACTGTGAATGATCTGCGTGCGAGCGAGTCTACGTGCATGAATGCGAATATGACAAAGCGTGGTGCAAATGTGTATGAATGCCAATAGTTTGACAACGACTGCCTCTGAATACTCGTGACGCTGGGCGTGGCCGCCGCAAGGAGCTTCCCCGGGACTCCCCGACGGCATCGCCCGCGCGCCGCGACGCCAATGTCGGCGCGCCCCCCCGCGAGGATCGCGCCCGCTTCCTCCCCTTCCTTTACTCCCTCTTTGCCCGCGCACTCAAAAGTCCAAGGCTGCGGGAGCAGCGCAGCGCGGAGCCCCCGCGACGCGCGCAGGTCACCCCGGAGGGGTCCCAGCGACGCGCGCGGGTCGTCCACTGCGCGGAGCGAAGAGAGCTAGCTGGCTGGCTGATAGCGGGCAAGGCTCTTGCCGCTGGGCAGAGCGACGACGGGCGAGCGAGGCGCTGGGCGGAACGCAGCACGGAGCCCCCGCGACGCGCGCAGGTCGCCCCGGAGGAGTCCCAGCGACGCGCGCGGGTCGCCCGCTGCGCGGAGCAAAGAGAGCTAGCTGGCTGGCTGGGACCTGCGGTGGGGCTCCATATGGGGCCACGTAACGCTGTACTGGGCAAAGGAGACGCATGTGGACTGCGCCACGGGGACCTTCGGTGGAGCTCCCTATGGGGCCACGAAACGTGTGAGGGATGTGCCGGAATGGGTGTGCGGGACGCATGCGGGCACACCCACTGAGACCTTCGGTGGAGCTCCCTATGGGGCCACGAAACGTGTGAGGGGTGGGACGACATGTGTGTGCGGGACGCATGCGGGCACACCCACTGGGACCTTCGGTGGAGCCCCTATGGGGCCACGAAACGTGTGAGGGGTGTGCCGAAATGGGTGTGCGGGACGCATGCGGGCACACCCACTGGGACCTTCGGTGGAGCTCCCTATGGGGCCACGAAACGTGTGAGGGGTGTGCCGAAATGGGTGTGCGGGACGCATGCGGGCACACCCACTGGGACCTTCGGTGGAAATGGGTGTGCGGGACGCATGCGGGCACACCCACTGGGACCTTCGGTGGAGCTCCCTATGGGGCCACGAAACGTGTGAGGGGTGTGCCGAAATGGGTGTGCGGGACGCATGCGGGCACACCCACTGGGACCTTCGGTGGAGCTCCCTATGGGGCCACGAAACGTGTGAGGGGTGTGCCGAAATGGGTGTGCGGGACGCATGCGGGCACACCCACTGGGACCTTCGGTGGAGCTCCCTATGGGGCCACGAAACGTGTGAGGGGTGTGCCGAAATTGGTGTGCGGGACGCATTGGGGCCTTCGGTGGAGCTCCCTGTGGGGCCACGAAACGTGTGAGGGGTGTGCCGAAATGTGTGTGCGGGACGCATGCGGACGGCAGCCATGGGGCCTTCGGTGGAGCTCCCTATGGGGCCACGAAACGTGTGAGGGGTGTGCCGAAATGGGTGTGCGGGACGCATGCGGCACACCCACTGGGACCTTCGGTGGAGCTCCCTATGGGGCCACGAAACGTGTGAGGGGTGTGCCGAAATGGGTGTGCGGGACGCATGCGGGCACACCCACTGGGACCTTCGGTGGAGCTCCCTATGGGGCCACGAACGTGTGAGGGGTGTGCCGAAATGGGTGTGCGGGACGCATGCGGGCACACCCACTGGGACCTTCGGTGGAGCTCCCTATGGGGCCACGAAGCGTGTGAGGGGTGTGCCGAAATGAGTGTGCGGGACGCATGCGGGCACACGCACTGGGACCTTCGGTGGAGCTCCCTATGGGGTCACGAAACGTGTGAGGGGTGTGCCGACATGGGTGGTGATAATGATGATGACGACAGATGATGATGACGATGACGATGATGGGGATGATGACGATGATGATGAAGATGGGAGGAGGGAGGGGGCAGCGGGAAGGAAGGAAGGAACGCGGGGCGACGTCTCTTCAAAACGAGGACCCAACACCACAGGATGGTTGGGAAAAACACATGTGATTTCGACTATTTCCGAATTTATGCAACTTCAAGAATCCAAAACTCCGTTCCCAGCGCCGTTCCGGAGGCCGCGGTACCTCGTTATTTATCGAGCGATTGCGTTTACCTTGTTTTTTATCGTTTAAAGTCGATGTCGGAAAAAAGTGGACTTCACCTGTGAAATATCGAGGTTTCCTTAAATGCAGTAAAATTCCCAGAGCACGATCTGCGTGAGGGGTGGCGAAAAATGGCCTTCGTCCTCACAATTGAAATCCGCCTGCCCCCTTCGACTTCGTAATTTATCGCGCAAGAATTCCGCCGGCCCCCTTCAAGTAAAAACCGGGGGGAAGACCATCTAAAAGAGAACCCTGGGCCCAGGCCCTTTCCGGGAAAAAAAAAGCCGCGGTAATGTCTGGGGAGCGGTCTTGGGAGGGGTGGGCTCCTGGAGGTGTCTGGGCCCCGTGGCGGCTGCCCTCGGCCGCGCCTCGTCCACGAGGGGCCCTCCGAGCCGGGCGGCCGCCCGGGCCGCCCGGGAGGCTGGAGTGTGCAGCGGGGTCCACCCAGGCCGCGCGGTGGCCAGGGCCACGTGCAGGCCAGCCACCACCGGGGGAGCCGTGGTCCTGACCCCGTCCCCTGACCTTCCAATGGGCTAAAAAATAGCACGCGGCTTAAACACCTATCTCAGAGCTATTCTACGTCTTGGTTTTAGGCTGTTTCGTTTAGTGTTTTAGGTTTTTAGGCCTCGCGTGCTAAAAAATAGCTCTCTGGAAGGTCAGGGTCCTTACCCCCCTGGGGGGCCCATCGATCTCGACGCCCCTCTCGAGAGATCGTCGATGCGATGGGTTCCCCCAGGGGGGGAAGGGCAACAGCTCCCCCAGCTGTGGCCGGTCGGGTGTGGGCGAGACGACACACAACGGGATCGTCTGCGCCAGCATTGGCGCGTAAGCCGTCCGGGCAAGGTCGCGCGTAAGCGCCCTCGCTTGACATGTAGCGTGCCGCGCGGTCGGCCCGCGCCAGCCGCCGCGCAAGGTCGCCGTTCCGTCAAGCGTGAGACCCGTGCGTTTTCGCCGCCCAGGTGGATCAGCCAGACCCGCGACGTCATGGTTTTTCCATGACGTCGACCCCTGGAGGTCTCGACCCATTCCCCTGGACTGGTTTTTCATCCCGAGTCGTCTTTTGACGGTCCCGAGGCCCGGCGAGGGCCCCCCCAGGCCGAAAATATGGAAAAGTCTCCCGTGATGATTGTTCCCTACCTAGGCTCTGCCTAGAAGGGTTCTTTCTCTGTTGGCTTAAAGGGCCGGGCAGTGTAAATCGCCCCGGGCGGTTCCCCCAGGATCCGCCCCGCGGTTCCCCCAGTCCCCTGGGAGCTTTAGCTTTAGCTCTAGCTTTAGTCTTAGTTTTAGCTTTAGCTTCAGTTTTAGCTTTAGCTTAGCTTTAGCTTAGCTGTAATTCAACTTTATGTTAGCTTTAGCTTAGCTTCAGCTTAGCTTTAGCTTAGCTTTAGCTTAGCTCTAGCTTAGCTTTAGCTTAGCTTTAGCTCGGCTTTAGCTTAGCGTTAGCTTAGCTTTAGCTTACCTTTAGCTTAGCTTTAGCTTAGCTTTAGCTTAGATTTAGCTTAGATTTAGCTTAGCTTTACCTTAGCTTTAGCTTAGATGTAGCTTAGCTGTAGCTTAGCTGTAGCTTAGCTTTAGCTTAGCTTTAGCTTAGCTTTACTGTTACTACTAATGCTGCTTTCCTAGGGGCTCCAACTCCTAGGTAGGGTCGCACTGGGATAATTTCATTACCCGAGGGGGTCTGGGAAGCTAGTGTGGAGAAGTGGGGGTTTCAGGTGGCCGCACGGGGTGGGGGGGCTCGCGTCGTTCTCCAAGGAGGCCCCATCTCGGGCGACGGAGGCCTCTGGAGGAGGGAGTCCCAGAGCTGCGCGGTGGCGGGCCGTGCGTTGAGGCCGTCGGGGAGGCCGAGGTCACCGCACGAGCTGTCACCAGACCGCGTGGGGACCTCCGAGAGTCGGAGATTGATGGACCTCCTACCCTGATGCGTCGATTTAGGAATTGGTCGTTTTCGGTTCCCGAGAGGGCGTCGCGGCCGTCCTTGTTGCGGGTCCAGGTCAGTCGGTTTCGGTCCCAGGCCGTTGTCACTCAAGGGAGGTTTATTAAAAGGAGGTTTGTTCACCGCCGAAAGAGGCCACTTGGGAGTTTCAGCCGGGGACAAGGACACATTACAATAAGACTATGTGCGCAGTCGCCACCGCGCACAGTGATGGGCATCCTTCGGGTTAGGCGCGCGGGCATGAGACCTTCCACAACATGTGCGCACTGTGTGTTCGGGTGAGGGCCCGCATAACTCAGTGTGTGTGTATATATATGTATATATATATATTATGTAAACGTGCTGCTCCGATGTTGGCATGGAACAACAACTGTCCTGGTCCGTGGGGCTTTTGCCCTGGGACCCGCTCTTCTTCCTGAGCAGTGCTTTGGTGGTCCTGCGGCCTCTGGACAGCCCAGGGAGCCCGAGAACGGCGGAACGAATCCAGACCCTGTCGTTTCAGAACCTGCTTGTTTAATAGCGAAGTCGGCAGGGTGGCGCTCCATCGTTTCCTCCTCCTCCTCCTGTTCCTCCTCCTTCTCTTTGGATGCCGCTACTGGGAGGTTAGATTCAGCATCGGCGTATCCAGTTATACGTTGTCGAAAACTGAACAACTTTGTCATCATTCCGTTGAATTTGATACGTTCTTGGCTTAATCTGGCCTGATGCGGCCAGATGCCCTTTACTCGAGCTTGGTAGTTCATCATCGGTCTTATCCTCCTCCTACTCCTCCTCCTTGTCTTCATCCTCCTCCTCATCCTTATCTTCCTCCTCCACTTCCTTCTCTTCCCGCTCTTCCTCATGTTCGTA